CGTGCCAATTTTAGAGCCGTCATTTTCAAATCCCCGGGTTTGGGGGAAATGGGCCCCGCGCTCCATGTCGACATTTCCCGGGGGCTTCATCGCTCTTCGAGGGCGAGCGGGGGGCGGGGGGGATTGGGGGGGGGCGGGGGGGGGGGGGCGTGGCTCGAGGCGTCCGACGGCGTTCGGTGTTCTCTTTGCTGCCGACGGCCGGTGCCGCTCTATCTGCCTGCTCGCCAACGCGGGGGGGGGGAAAGGCGGGCGGGGGTGGGGGGCAGGAAAACGCGCCCGAAGCAGCGCGCGGGGCGCCGCCCACGCGGGGCCTCGCGTCTGCCTGTTGGGGAGGGGGGGGGGGGAAGAAGAGGGGGGGGAGGGGGGGAGAGGGGCGACTCGTGAGCCTTCGGTCGGTCGGCGAGCCGATGGGCTCGAGTGGCCACCTGCCGCGGTCTTGCGAGGGGCGTCCCGCCCGGACTTGCAGCGCGCTTGCCGCGGCGAAGCGGGCGCGCAACCATGTCGAGCAGCTGGGCGCCGATGCTCGCGAAGATCATTTGGCCCTCCTTCTCCTCCTCGTCTTCAGCCCTCCCCCCTCGACCTGTCGTCGCCCTCCACCAAGGGTGGCGGAGATGACCCGCTCGTGCTGACGGCGCGCAGTCCACTCCCCCTGGCCCCGCGGCCCGAGTTCGACATGGCCATGGCGGGCCGCCCTCGCGCCCGCCCCCCGCTGACGCAGGGGGCGCGTAGCCAAGTAACCAAGAGTGAAGCGCCAGATCCGCCGGCGCAGGAGAGACCGCCAGCGTTTCCAGGCACTAGTAATTCGTGGGTCGATGTGGGGACGTAGAGGGCGGGGGGGCCGCGTAAGTTGCGCTCCCTTCATCGGTACACCGTGCGCTGAGCCTCCCATGCCATGGGCCATCGACGACGTCGCGGCCCGCCATGCCACACCGTTGGCGTCCGAGGCCGATCGGGGCCTTGCATTTCTCTTGTCCGCCCTCCATGCCGCGCGAAACTTCTCGGAGGTGTTCGGCGGCGCCCCCGACCCCCCGGGGCCCGCGCGGAAATTTCCCGCCCGGCAGACTTGGATGCCGTGGCGGGCCGCCGAACGCGGCCGGCACCTCGGAGCGCCCGCCCAGGCGGGATGGCACGCTGTGGAAGCGCGCAGACTCGCCCGAAACATCGCCGAGGAGGGCCTCGCGCAGGCCGCGCGGAATTTCGCCAGCGACTGGTCGCCTGCAGCGGTTCCCGCGCGAGGGCGGCGCTCGTTGCAGCGCCCCCCAGCCTTCGCTGCGAGCGCTACCAGCGCCCCCTCCCACCCCCCCTTCCTGACTGCGCATTTCATTCCATCCAAGTCCATTCCATTCCAGGAATCTCACTATTTCCCTACCTAGGCTCTGCCTAGAAGGGTTCTTACTCGGTTTGCTTAAAGGGCCGGGCAGTGGGGCTCGCCCCGGGCGGTTCCCCCAGGATCCGCCCCGCGGTTCCCCCAGTTACGTCCCCTTAACTTAGCGTTGCTTATCTCATCTTAGCTTAGCTTGTTTCATCTTAGCTTAGCTTAGCTTCATCTTAGCTCAGGTTTATCTTAGCTTAGCTTACCTTCATCTTAGCTTCGCTGAACTTTAGCATAGCATAGCACAGCATAGCATAGCGTAGCTTAGCATTGCACAGCGCTGTATTAGTATAGCATAACACAGCACAGCATAGCATAGCATAGCATAGCGCAACATAGCATAGCATATCATAGCATAGCTTAGCATAGCATCGCATATCATGACATAGCTTAGCGTAGCACAGCGCAGCATGACATAACATAGCTCAGCATAGCATCGCATAGCATAGCGCAGCATAGCATAGCATAGCATAGCGTAGCGCAGCATAGCATGGCATAGCATAGCATAGCATACCAACTAATGCTGCTTTCCTAGGGGTTCCAACTTCTAGGTAGGGTCGCACTGGGGTATTCTTCTTAAGCAACAAATCGCTAAATCTCACTAAACCAACTGAATCTCACTAGATCTCATTAAATATTATTAAATCTCATTAAATCTCACTAGATCTCACGAAATCTTAGTAAATCTCACGAAATCGTATTACATCTTACTAAATCTCACTAAATATCCTAAAATCTCATTAAATCTAACTATCATTCAATCCCATTAAGTTTCACTGAGTATCACTAAAGCTCACTAGATCTCATGAAATGCTCATAAATCCCATTGAATCCCACTGGATCCCAGTGTACCCCGCCAGGACGGCGGCAGGAGGAGTGGAAGCAGGAAGGGCCCAGTCTGGGTGGGATCTACTGGGGTCCGGTGGGATTCAATGACTTCAGTGAGATCTCATGAGATCTACTGAAGTCTAGTGCGATTTAATGAGATGCAATGAGATCTACTCAGATTTAATGATATATGTTGAGATCAAGTGAGATCTAATGGTATTTAGTAGGTTTAATGTAACTTAATAAGATGGTTTGATATGTAAGGGGTGGTCGCGCTGGGGCGCGAGGGGGATCTCGCGGGAGCGAAATGGAATGCAGCAGTGCATAGTCAGGAGGGGGGGAGGGGAGCGCCGGCAGCGCTCGCAGCGAGGGCCGAAGGGCGCCGTGACGAGCGCCGCCCTCGCGGGGGAACCGCCGCGGGCCGCCAGTCGCCGACGAAGCCTTTCTCGGCGACGCATCGGGCGAACCTGCGTTTGCAATGCGTGCCGCTCCGCCCGGGCGGGCGCCCCGAGGTGCACGTCGCGTTCGGCGGCCAGCCGCGGCGCCCAGGCCCGCAGGGCGAGAAACGTCTGCGCAGGCTCTGGAGGGACGAGGGCGCCGCGGAACACCTCCGACAAGTTTCGCGCGAAATGAGGGGCCGACAAAAAATGACGCAAGGCCCTGATCGGGCCACCATGTGGGATATATGGCAGAGGACGGGTGAAACAAAAATACAGGGGATACAAGGGCACCTTGGGCGAGTCGCTGCGCTTCGCTTTCGGTGCAGCCGAAACGCCTGGACACGCGCAGCGTTTTGAACCCCCCCTGCCCGCCCTGGAAGGCGGGGCCTCTCTCCGACCGCAGGAGAAACGAAATCTCGGCATTGCCCGCCGCCGCGCCAACGGCGCAGAATGGCAGGCCGCGACGTCGTCGATGGCCCGCGGCATGGGCGGCCCAGCGCACGGCGCACCGATGAAAGGAGCGCAACCTACGCGGCGCCCTCACCCTCTACGCCCCCGCGTCGACCTACGAATCTCCATCGCCTGGAAACGCTGGCGGTCTCTCCTGCGCTGGCGGATCTGGCGCCGCGCACTCTCGGCCAATTGGCCGCTTGGCCACGCGCCCCCTGCGTCGGCGGGGGGCGGGCGCGAGAGCGGCCCGCCGCGGCCACGTCGAACTCGGGCCGCATGGCCGGGAAAAGTTGACTGCGCGCTGTCGGCGCGAGCGGGTGATCTCCGCCATCTATGGCGGAGGGCAACGAACGAGAGAGGGGGGGGGGGCAACGAACGAGAGAGGGGGGGGGCCGAGGGCGAGGATGACCAACTTATCCTCGCGAGCATTGGCGCCCAGCTGCTCGGCGCGTTCGCGCGCGCGCGCTGCTGCGACAAGCGCGGCGCAAGACCGCGGCAGGTTTGAAGGGGAACTGGGACACACAAATAAATACACACAAATAAAGATATCCCCCATATTTTCCTATACTTTCTGGGTTTATGTCTTCCCCCCACTTCCCATATTTTCCCATATTTTCCTGGGAATCGCCGATGAATTGTGTCTGTGTGTTTTTTTCCTCTCCTGAAGGTCGCCGCTCGCAAGATCGAGGCAGGCTGCCACTCGCGCCCCTCGGCTCGCCGACCGGCAGCAGGCCCGCGAGCCGCCCCCCCCCTTCCCCCCCCCCCTCTTCTCCCCCGCCCCCTCCCTCCGGAGGAGGAGGAGGAGGAGGGCCCCATTCAGGTGGCGTCCCACATGCTGTTTCGGACGCGTCCCCCTCCCGCCCCCCCCCATCGCATCGCCGCGCCCCCTTCTCCCGTCCCCCGCGCAGGCGAGCAGACAACACAGGGCGGCACGTGCCGTCGGCAGCATGGAGAGCGCCGAACGCCGTCAGACGCCTTGACCTCTTTTCCCTCCCCCTCGCCGCCCTCCCCCTCCACCCGCCCCCCCCGCCCTCCGCCCCCCCTCGAAGGGCGATGAAGCCCCCGGCGAATGTCGACGTGGAGCGCGGAGCCCCATTTCCCAAAATCCCGGGGGCGCGAACATATCGGCGCTAAAATTGGCATACGCTTTGGGCCGCTGGAGGCCGTTTTCGGGCCCAGGGACCGTCGAGACAGGGCTCGCTCGCTCGAAGCGGGGACTCGGCCCGCAGGAGAACTGATGCTCGAAAACATCGAGCCGTCGGAAATCGAAACAAGAAGATCCGAAATTCAGACAGAACTTTGGGCTGATCGGGGCCAAACTTTGGCTATAACTTTGGGCTGATCGGGGCCAGCGCCGGATCTTCGGGCCCCGCCAGGGCGCGCGGATCGCCGATGCTCTGCGCGCGCGATGCGCTCTCCGCTCGTGCAGCGCACTCTTGACGTTGCGCGCGAACGCAATTAGAGAAACCAAAAATACCGACGCCGCTGCTCCCCAGACCTCTCCTGGGGCGCGTTCTGACCGGGATTTCGAAGCGAATCCGACAGTGGCGACGAGGGCCCGGCGCATCCGGTTGGGAAGGGCTTGAGGGCCGCATCCGTCCAGAAAACCAGAAAGGTCAGGAGTAGCCAGCTTCGGATCGGGAAATCGGATATGACCGAAATGTGCGTCGGACCGGGCTGCATCGGCACGGAGTTGCACTCGGATCGAATTGGCCGCGCCACCATGCACAACGACGCCATGCAAACACCAGGCCGCATGGGATCGTCGGAATGTCGGAATCGAGGCGGATCGAAACGGCCCCAATCGACGTCGAACTGGATCGATCGGATCGAACTGGTCCACGGCTCGAAAGTCGACTGCGGCCGCGACGCCGCGCCGAGAGGACAAGCTGCGCCCGGGCACCTCGGCCTCAAGCGGCGTAGATGTCCACCACGCGCACGCAGCCGCCCCCGCCGCCGACGGCAAGCACGGGGCCGCGGTCGGCTGGCCGGTTGACAAGCCCAGGAGGAGGGCGAGAGGAGAAGCGAAAGGAGGAGGAGGAGGAGGAGGAGGAGGAGGAGGAGGAGGGAGGGAGGGAGGGAGGGAGGGAGGGGGGGAGGAGAGGGAGGAGGGAGGAAGGAGGAGGGAGCAGCACTCCGAAGGATAAAGGGACGAACGCAGGCGGTCACGACCAAAAGGAAAACACTGTCAGTTGGTCAGCAGAGAGCGGATGGTGGGAGAAAGCCGCGCTTGAAAGCGTCTGCGGGCTGCCGCGTGCCTCCGAACAGCAGTGCTGCCTTCCTGGCCGTGGGCGCGCATTTCCTGAAAGGCGGAGAACATGAACCCAAAAGCGAGAGCAACGCTTAGGAGTTCCTCGGGGAAACTTACAGGAATCTGTCCAAACGCGAGTTGGGTAGACACATTGGTTCGGCCCCAGGAGGTCGGAAAGCAGGGATAGAGAGCCAGAATCAGGGGCTGGAAAGCAGGACAAAGAGATAACAACATTGATGGCTACCCTCAATAACACAGTCATACGACACCTCTGGGTGCCCACCCGATACCTCTAAGAACAATTCCGTCAATTGACCAGGAGTCTTCAGGAAGCTAGAGAAGAGGCAGGCGGTGAGCTGATGAGCGATGATACGAACCCTCAGGGTGGTCAGAAAAACCTCCTGGCACGAAACTCGGGGGGACCAGCGGCGCAGCCGAGAGGCTATCTGGACATGGATAGGTTCACGCTGAAGTGACGCGCTAGGGCGGCGTGGGTCTTTGCCTGGAAGCGTGCGACCCCACTGCATTAAGGCACATCTGGGATGCTGTCGAGCACTCTGATAACACTAATGAGATACGCGCGGATCGAATGCCGATGCATTCCTGATCCCCAAATGCGACAACCTACTCATCAGAGTCAAGACGAATCTAAACTCTTTCTTGCATACGAGTCCGAACAATGGACCTCTTGGCACATCGATGCGAGGCGGCTGGACAAGCGGCGACGAGATCTTGCACTTGCGGTTTGAAGCCTGTAGTATGCTCATTATTCATCGTCCTCGTGCTGAAAGAGTTGCGAGAGGAAGCATGCATCAACTGAAGGCCTCGCTCTTCGGCTTTGAATGCCACCGATGTAGGTTCTCACCTGAGCAACATGAGCAGTGACTGGGGTTGCACAAGTGTTGCGCGCGACGAGGTTGAGCGAGAAACTGATGGCCATAGGGGTGCATGGGTCGCGCGCGGCACACGGGCGAGGAGGCAGGCAGAGCCCAGGAAACGCCCCTCCTCACAAAACCAATTTGGGCCCAAAATGTGTTCCACATTTGTTAGCGGTATGCTGAGGATCAAAGTCGCAGCGGAAGATGGCGCCAGTCTTGCTAGGTTTCAACTGGAGGCCTGACACGGACCCCACGAACTTGAGGCAAGTCGATGAAGACAGGGAGGTGGCAGAAATTGCCGAATGCATAGCTAAGTCGCCAGCAAAGCCGAACGGCTGGGCGGGGTCGACGGGCTCCAGAGCTCGCTCGAGGATCTAAGAAGGAGGTATGCGACCATAACGTAGAGCACGCCGCTCATCGCGCACCCCTGTTTGAGACCGCGATGCGCGTCGAACGAATGCGAGCAGGAACAATTGAAGTTGACATGCAGCGTGATGCCAGAATGCGTGCACAAAAGACGTGGATGACAACTTTCGGGGGCCATTTCCTGACTAGGACGCGCCGTGGGAGCTTCCAGCTCGCGGGCGGGAAGGCTGCCGTGAAGTCCCCTAGCGATGCGCCATGCACTCGCTCGCCGTCAATCACAAGCAGGCTTTCAAGTTCCAAGACGCGTTCCTTCACCTGTCGGCCAGGGAGGCATAGGCAGTCTGGAATTCAAATACGCAGTAGCCAGCAGTGCATGCCAGAGATGCCGGCACGGCACTCGCGACAACCTTGCTGTCCGCGTTCGATAGGGCTTGGGGTCTCGCGCCAGCGGGAGGCCGAGTCTTGCCCGGGGCATTGGGCCCGTCCGAACCCTGCGGGAGGAAAGCCGCGAGAGCGCGATTGAAACGGGGTGTCTCTCCAGAGCCCGGGAGGCGAAGATGCGTCTCATGCAGCGCGCCAGCGCCGAGGGAGCCTCCAGCTTAATAGGTTCCTCAGGGGATCCCGTCGAGCCCGGGTGGCGCCATCCTTCCTTCGCGCCGGCACGCGCTCCAGCTGCGCAAGAGGGACCGCCCGCGGCGCGGAGGGCGAGCGTGACTGAATGCACGGGTCGAGTCCTTGCCAGCAGCGGATGGGCCCCGGCGCTGCGCTAATTACCCCCTCCCCCTCCATCGGGATTCTCGCCGGCCGCGCCCTCGTCGACGACGGCGACCTTCTGGCGGGCGACGGCGCGCAGGGGCCAGGGAAGCATCCATTCGCGAAGACGATCAGGTTTGGCTTCTTGCGCGAGCGCAGGCAGGCCAGGGCGCCCCTGAACCGCTCGTTCTTCATCTGCGTAGCGTTTGACCATGATGCTAGACAGCTTCCGGCGGCGACTCGGGACGTCGCCCTACTGGAACACGCCCTCGTCGAAAGAACTCGCAGGGCGGCGGGGCGGCCAGGAAGGCCCTCGGCGCAGCGCCGAAAAGTGAGCCGCGGTGGGGCCGGAGCAGAGCTACGCGCCAAGCCGGGCCGCGGCCTCGGGCGCGCGCTTCGCCCCGGCAGCCGTCTCGCCGGGCAGATTTGCGATTTTTATTTTTTTCCTGCGAAGCTCTGCAACACTTCTTGTGACAACTGTAACTCTCGCTGATCGAACTCACAGCGCTGCCTGGAAAAGAGCACGCCAGAACACGAGCAATTCGCCGACCCTGCCAGGGGGCCCTAACGAACACACTCCAGCAAAGAAGGCAGAAAGATTGCATTATTTCTGTCCGCGCAACCACTGGCACGGAGCCGGGCGGATTTGCGATCTCTGGCAGACGCGCCGTGGCAGGCGGGGCGAACTCAACCCCTTCGCAGAGCGGGGGGGGGGGGGGCGGCGGGGCTGAACAGGGAGCGGTCGGCGACCCGGCGCGGGGCGGGCGGCCCTTCGGAGGCGCGCCGCGCGCGGAGAGAAGGGCGACAGCCGCGCGGTCGCTCGGCGCAGATTCTCGGGCGACGCCCCAGGTCGTTCCAGGAGTCGGGTCATGTCGGGCGCGTCCCCCTACAGGGGGATTTTCGACGAAAAATAAAGGATACCCCAAAAATGAACAGAAAATGATCCAAAAATCGTCCGGGGACCATCTTTTTGGTATATTTTTGCCTTTTCGGGGCATTTGGGGGGTATTTTTCATTTTCGTCGAAAATCCCCCTCTAGGGGGACACGCCCGACATGAGAGTCGGGGCGGGGCCGAGGGATGCGCGCGCGGGCGTCGCGAGGCGCGGGCGGCCGCCACGCCCGAGGAAGACGAGCCCCCCCTCCTCCTCCCTCCTCCTCCTCCTCCTCCTCCTCCTCTCCTCCCTCCTCCCCCTCTCCTCCTCCCTCCTCCACCTCCGCCTCCTCCTCCTCCTCCTCCTCCTCCTCCTCCTCCTCCTCTCCCCCACCTCCTCCTCCTCCCATCCTCTCTTCCGCCTCCGCCCCCCCCCCCCCCCCCGTGACTTGTCGTGGGAAGTCGCCCGGGGGGGCCGCGATGCACCCGAGGAAGTTGAGCTGGGCCAATCCCCCGAGATTTAGGAGGCAACTAATGGGAGGTTTTCGTCGGAAGGATTAGGGAGGATTAAGCCTCATTGGGGGGTTGTTGCGCCAGAATGGGCCTCGGATCAAGCGGGATTAAGCCGGATCAGCGCAACGATTCCCGATGAAAGTGCCTTCTGGATGCCGCTGACCACGGGGGCGAAGAAGCTGGGCGAAGTCCCCATGGGCGCCCTGGGTCTCTCGGAGCAGGATGATGGCATGCTTCTCTATCGGGCACTTCAGGGCGCTGGCGGCCAACTCGAGGCCCGTCTTGAACAACGGGAGGGGGGGGGGGGGGGGCGGCAGCGCGGGCCGCGGGGGCCCGGCAACAGAGCTACTAGAAGCTCCCAGGCGCCGCGAGCGGAGATTGCCTGGAGTTCCGCCGCGCGCGGAAAGTGGGGAGACAGAACAACGACTTGAATTGGGGGGCGCCTCGCTCCTCCTGGCGCGGGTAGGAGAACCGCGGCATCAGACTGGCGCGGCTACGGGCGCGGCGGGGGGAGGCGTCGCAGCTGTAACCATCGCCTCGCCCACGGTAGCACAGCCCGGCGTTCTCGCCGAAGTGCCTCCTACTCTTCAGCAGCAGCCGTCGCGGCGCGAGAAACGAGAGCCTCGACCTCAGCCATGCTGATGCCCCGGGCGGCCCAACTGGAGTGCGCTGGCTCGAAAGTGAACTCCTTTGAAGTCGGATCTCTTGATCCACAATAACCCCCGCTTGTCTGTGCCGCTTGTCAGATGAATCTGATCTTGGAAGCAGTTCGCGATTAGCTTGTCACCGTCGGCGGAGTGGCCGCGCCGCAGCAACTCCAACGTGCCAGACCAAATCCTGCTTGCTACGCGTTGCTTCGCCCGTGCATCTTGGGGAAGGCCTTGGCGGACTCGCGCTTCGCGTTGGAGGCCTGGCCGAGGATCGGCCCAGAAGAGAGAGCGAGCCCTGGGCGTGTCCGCGCGATCGCGGGCGGCGGCCGCAGACGGCGTGGCGGGGAGGCGCGACCTGGCGACGCCGATGAAAGAGCGAGGTCGCTCGGCAAGAGGCCCTCGATGGTGTCCCAGTGCGCGGGCCTTTGAGATCTTGTCAGCGAGCGCGGGAAGGTGCCGATCCAGCGCAGGCAATCAGCAGTGCCACGGTCGGGAGGGCCAGGCGCAGCGGCAGCGCGCGAGGGGGCTCCACTGGATGAACTGGCTGCCGAGGAAACTGCAGGGCGACAGCGCAGCGGGGCGATCTCTGAACTGATGGACTCCAACTTGGTGTCCCTGGCGGCGTTGTGGGCTGACTCGACGACGTTGCCCCCGTTGGTTTCGACGGCAATGGGCCTGGCGTGAAGGTTATGCATGTTCTG